GAAGGTTGTTAGCCATCATTTGTGTGCTGGGAATTAAACCGGAGTCCTCTGTGAGAGCAGCCACTGCTCTTAACGACTGGGCCATCTCTCCAGCTGCAGCACTGCCCATATGAGCTTATGTTTATATATATATATATATATATATATAAATATATATATATAATTTTTTTTAACTTGGTATCAAATTGGCTTATAAGTAAGCACTCATGTAAACTGATGATGTTAAATTAGCCCAATTTCTTTTGACTTACAGTAAAACTAAAACTTTAAGGACAGAGGTTCCAAGTCCAACAGACTTAAGTTAGCTTGGCCACATGTCCACTATGCCAACTGAAGATACTAAATCAATGTGACCACTTTGGCAAAGCAAGTAGAAGTGATTAATGGTCCTAGATGTTTTAAATCTAGATTTTAACATGAGTTTTTAAGTTTAAATGTTTAAGACAAGACATACTAAAGTCTGGTCAAGCTCTCTCCTTGATGCTTGTCTCAGTTCTCGTTCTATAACATGCTCTCCTAAGATGCTAAACTTTTATTCCAAGGATTATGAAAGATCACTTATCTCTGCTTTAGATGTATTTTATGTATGTTATATATTTATGAATATAAGTATTTTAGGACTTTTGGATTACTACTGCCTCTTTAAAGACAATAAACAACTTTGACAAGGTACATACCTTTGCCAAGGGTATGTTAAAACAGTTCTAAACATTTAAAAAGAAAATTGGTCATTTAAAAATACCTGCTTCAAGGTTTACATCTTAAAGTTTAAGACTTCTTAAAGTTTATAACTAATCTTAATGTGTTACGTTATAATAATATATTTGAGATGATTGTTCATTTCTGCTTTAAATTTAAAAATATAGTATAGTTAAATACTTGTTAAATGATTAATATAATTACTATAATTATAAACAGATGGCAATAAATAAATAAGGTCAAAAGCCCAAACTTTATCATCTGGATGCCTCAAACTCTAATGAGAAGTGAATTTTTTTTTCTTTAACAAAAATAATTTCAAAGTGCCTGTTACCATGACTTCTCTTTAACAAATAATTAGTTTAAATTGGTGAGAAGAAAAAAAAGGGACTGTTAATGTTTTTTACCTGTCTTT